AAATCTAATAAGGATGATTCAGAGTCCGGGTTGTACCAAGTCGCTTCTTTCACATGTTGCACTAGGGCACATGTGATAACCGCATCAACTAGTTCCTGCTAGAAGGAATTTTCTGACGATTTAGTTCGCAAATCTTCCCAGTCTACAATAGCTGCATTAAAGTCCCCTGGGATTATACATCGACCACTTTATGACAAAGTATTGAGACTGCTTAGCAGGACTTCATTTACCTCACAGCTTGGACTGCGATAGACCAAACCAATCAGCAGCTCTTATCTCTTGCATTTCAAGCGGAGACTAACTAATTCACACGTCCCACTCTCATGGGATACACTGTCGATAATGGCAAATGGGATAGCATTCTTAATGAATGGAACTACTCCCCCTCATCTACGCTTTTGTATTCTCTCAGACCTTACTGACGTAAAACCCTCAAAATCAAGTTCCATACTATCTATAGGCTGTGTCAGCTAGGTTTCTGTGACTGTGATTATGTCTGGCTTTGTAGAGTCAATCTGTACACCTAGTTCCAATCGCTTATTGAGTAAGCTTCGGTCATTAGTGCAACAGATCAGAAGCCTATTTAAGTGGTTTTGTGCTTCATCCAGAGTGGCTTCGGCATCATTCTCATCATTGTGATAAAGATCAGGTGTTATCTAATTACTTTGGCAATGTATATAATGCACAGATGTTCTTGCCTTCAGTTCATACGAATCCAAAGTCTGGACATTAACACCATCGAAGAACTCGATGACTTTCGTCTACTAAATAAGCTTGATGTAGACGGGCTCTGAATTATTAATGAAACTGGCAAAAGTGGAGAGATTACAACTGATAGACCACCTTTGGACGATGTTAAGTAACGCACAAGTTCAAATGAGTTACGTGTGTACATCAGTCTTCAGTCTTCAGTAATAAGGATAGTAGGTTGGTGAACCTGTATTAATCCTGACACATTGCTTTCGAGTGAAGGTCCAGCTTCTCCTTGAAAGTATTCACTGATGGGGCTGATACCACTTGTTCGAGTAAGGCGTTCCAATCATTGACTACTCGATGAGAAAAACGGGACCCCACTTTAAGTTTATTAGATTGTGGTTTATGAACCTTCTTGCTATGACCTCGGAGATTATTAGTGCTGGAGGGAGCAAAAAGATAAGACATAACAACACCCAAATCATAATTAAAGATACGAAATGCCAGTATAAGGTCACCTCGTGTCCTGCGATACGAAAGGGGAAAAGATTTAAGCGTTTTAAACGCTCATCGTAAAGAAGCCTAGAAAGACTCTTCACTAATTTCGTTCCCACACGCTGGACACGCTCAAGGGAGTTAGTATCCTTTACCAGACACGGGCTAGCTGCTTGGATACAGTACTCTAAATGTGGTCTAACATATATGGGATATAAAATTCGAAACGTTTCCTCGTCAAAAGACTTGAACTCTCGGCGAAGTGACCATAACGCACGAAAACCTTTGACAGCGGCTGCGTTTCAATGCGTAGTTGTTTTTAAGTCATGTCTTAATATTACTCCTAAGCCTTTATGCTCTTGAACGCATGGAAGAGGTTTACCCTCAATAGTGTAGCGGTAACTATTCCCGTGACCGATGTGCATTAGCACACTCTTCCTAGCATTGATTTCCAAGCCCCACTCTCGAGCCCATCTAACTAAATCGTCTAAGTCAGCTTGAAGATCCAGATGATCAGCCTCACTTCTTATTGTTCTCCAGATTTTTACATCATCCGCAAACAATAATGTCGACGACCTAAGTAACAGCGGTAACTCATTAACGTAGAGAAGGGAGAACAGAGGTTCTAAGATTGTGTCTTGGGGTACACCACTTTTGACCGGCTTCCAATGGGATAGCGTTCCGTTGACCCTCACTCTCTGTCTGCTGTCACATAAGAAATTTCCTATCCACTCATGTACAGTACCTATTATTCCGAAGCTCGTGAGCTTCTGCATAGGGCCTACGTGTGAAACCTTGTCAAATGCTTTGTTAAAATCTATGAATATCACATCGACAGACAGACAGACCATTATCTAGAGCTGCTGACCAATCCTCCCTCGCAATAAGCAAGTTAGTCAAGCATGAACGCTTGTTACGAAATCCGTGTTGCTCAGGAGCTAACAGATTGTGTAAATCTATGTTGCTTAGCAACTTAACCCGAATTATCCTTTCAAGTAACTTAACGACTATGCTAGTTAGACTAACAGGCCGGTAGTTAGATACTATCTGTCTCTGACTGTCCTTAAATATAGGACCGGCCCTCAGGGCCCGGTATCTTACCAGGTTTGAGGTTAGTTATCAACGGAAGGACAGTCTCCTCAGTCACCTGTACAGATTCAATGGTTGGTATCTCGGTGTGAATGGGACAAGTATTTGTTATAATAAACGTAGAGAAGACTTCGCTAAAATAGTTTGAAAAAGTTTCAGCTTTTGCTCGATCTGATTCAGCTAGTAAATCTGAATTTTCGTGTAACAGCAACGGGGGAATACCATCACTACGTTTCATTCGCCGTTTAACATACGAAAACAATCGTTTCGGACAAGTACGGCTATCATATACTAACTGTCGTTCGTAAGTGGTACGGGATTCTGCTATAATTTTCTTACAGATATTATGGAATTTTTGGTACTCACGATTAAATGGAGCATGACCTGTCAACAAGAATAAGTCGCAGAAATGTTTCCTACGCTTTAACAGCTTCCGGGTTTCCTTATTAATCAATGGAGGGCAATGTGATAGCTTACGTGCTGACCATGGGATAAACGGCGACGTTACGGACTCGTATGTAGCCTTAAACTTATTCCATTCATCTTCAATCAATCCATCCGCGTCGACCGACCAATCAGTCAAGATAGCACAGTTTCTGATTTCCGGGATATTGGCTCGCCAGATATTGGGACGGGGTGGAGCAGATAAGAATTGTATACCATGTGTCCTAAACTTAAAGTGAATTACAACGTGATCGCTGTTCGTCAGCAAGACAAAACGGACTATGGTATATTATTCCTATAGTCACCAACCAATTTCTAGATTTGATCTTACAACATGCTACCTCACATTTACCACTGATATGTGCCTCCGATATGGTTGGTTGTATACGAAAGTGATCCCTAACGTATAATATTATACCTCCTCCTTTGCGACTTGAAACTCTATAACTTCTAATACAGATATAGCCTGCAATGAAAGGAGAACAGTCTATATCTACTGTGAACCAAGTTTCTGTAACAACGATTATATCGGGACCTAATTCTTCCACCATCAGACTTAGCTCGGACGTTTTATTTCTAAGACTACGAGCAATCGTGTAGCACACACTTAAGGTATTTTGGTAACCAATCTTTCTACCCATACAGGCCTCAGAAGCATTGGCTTCCAAGACCTGACTACTCGAAAACCCTTAATAGTAAAATTATTTTCGCCATTTCATTTGCGAGTCCTCAACTCCGTAAGAGCATTCTTCTACGTGATTCGATCCTCAAGCGGCCAATCTGATCGAATACGGATATTTGAGTTACAAGTTTTTAGTGCGTTTTTCAATAATATGTCTTTTTCTTCAAAACTCTCGAGAACCAGCTTAAGGATTCTTCTTGGCTGGGTTTCGCCTCCAACCAATTTGCCAAGTCGTATTACTTTTTAATATGTACCCCTGAAACCTCTTCAGGTAGTACATTTATTACCACAGACTCCACTAACTGCAGGTCATGTGCAACTTGGGATACTCCTAGAGAGGAGTTTCCTAAGTTGTAACTGTAGTCTGCAACATGTCTCAGATGGACTACTTTACACTTTGAAGTGTTAAGGGTAAGTCCGTTGTCATCTGCCCAACTTCCAAGTCGAGTCAGATCCTCCTGAAGTGCCAGCATATCCTATTGATTGCGTATATCTCCAACGTTTCACAATATCAACAAAAAGTAGTAAGTCAGACGATACCTGTCGTGGAAGATCGTTTATATAAATCAAGAGAAGAAGAGGTCCTAGTACTTGCTAGAAATGCGTAAAAACGTAAAAGTCACATCCTAACTTCTGATTGCCTCATTTACTTTTTAAACGTTTTGCAAATCACCTCACAATAACTTATATAATCATCAAGATCGTAAAAATTTGAGTACACTACCGCTGAGACTATTTACGTTGTAGTGGCTGTGCTTCGTTAACCAATCACCCTCGTAACCGTTATTATATAATCCTCAACCGTGTTTGAAATCAGAAGGCAAAGAGAAGCAGAGTCTACAGTTTTATTAGCATATAGCTCAGACCACGCAACAGAGAGGCGAATGAGTGAGTCAGCGAGTCGAGAGTGTATATAGGACTAAATGTACATGTATATATATAAGGAAATGAATGGATCATCGAATCAATAAAGCAGCTAATAATAAAGCTAGCGGAATGAATATATGCGTAGGCAGTAAGCAATGTTCAAGCATACATATTTTATACAAGCACAACAATAATAAAGGTACAACGATATAAGATAAGTTGTTCTAGTACGAATGACTCTCTCTGTCAAGTAAGTTAACAAGAGGGCTTAACCAAATAAATGTGAACAAACTCAATTGCATGTGGGTCGCTATAACATAAAATCAGCCAATTTCGTTTTGTTTTAGGGTAATTATAGGTCTTTTTCTAGCAGGTGAGTTATACGAAAATAATAAGAGTTCTTAACCTATATAATCTAGTAAATTTCAACCACACGTATTCCTGACAGAACACGGAGATATAGTGTCCTGCTTTCGATAAGTTATTGAGGATGTCGTTTACGTTATTTGATCGCTCGACAATGATAACAACGGAATAGATTACATAAATAAGTATAATAAGTGAAAAGTATAAATTGGTAGTGTGATGACAGATGTACTAGTTGTGATAAGAATAATAAAGGCCTGAATCAGTGTTACACAATGGGAGTAATAGTAATAGTTTGGTTACGGTTTAGCATTATGTACTGCGCATTTACTTTGGGTGAATCAGACTAGCAGAAATTTATTACCCAAACACTTCGACCTGTAGTGGCAAATGTCCTTTATCGGTCGGAGACATCTATTCTGATCTTAGTCTACCCGCGACAACTAATTGAATGTGCTCAGTGAGGTGTGCTGTTCAGATCATGTCGAGTCTTCCTATATTGCGTGTCATGCATGACAAGTTATATTACATTTCATTCTGCACGCTATATTTCCCAACACCCCATCATCCTCGACTTTTAGTTTGGCACGCTGTGATGGAGGAGTGCGAAGAATAATGGGTATGGGGGAATCTAATAAAAGGAATGGGAAGAAGGAGAAGTAAAACGATACTATATACACGCACCTTACGAACGGGAAGCTTAGTCCTAAAGTGAATTTCATTTCTTAAACTTTTGCTATGTCCTGACGCAACCTAAGTACCGTTTTGATCCAAAAAATCTGTCATGAGCTTTATGTTCAGGAAAACCCCTTCCGTTTTGAGTTTTACCTAAGTTGATATGTAACAGCCTAGGTTGGTTGGTTAAAAGTTGACCACAAACAACTAAGCATATGTCAAAACAGTATAGTTCAAGTATTCATTCACTTCCTTATTTTGTAAAGACGTTATATTTCCTATTATCTTATACTGAATGTTGAGAGGTTTTGTTTGTCTTAACAAGTAATCCCAAGCTCCATTATGACTGCGCGAGGGTCTAAATAAATACCTATTCACTACTTGTCTGGTTTCTTCTATCAATAGCACGAGGGTTATCTAGAGGCACGAAAAATAGTTGACTGTGGTTTTGCCTCAGCTTACTACTTGGTTTTTTTCACGTCAAGGCTGGGTTTAGTTTATCCTAACATTTTGTATCACCCACTCTATTCGTCTCGGGTCTACTGTTTTTTTTATTTATTTACTAGGGTCTTTTAAACAATTTACGAAGAATTCATGCAAGCGACCCGGATGCCGTTTTGCTGTTATCTCTGATATGCAGTGTGACAGTTACAAAGGTTGATTCCAAGAAGTGTGCACAGATCTTACAATAACTGCTCACAACACACTCAGTAAGTCGGATCGTAAGTGAATATATGGCATGTGCAACATGAATGTTGAGGTTTAACTGAACAACGTCAACGTTCTCTCGAGAGGTCAGCAAACCTGAAAAAAGGCAGTCCTAAAACGGGTACACAAACAAAGACGTGCAGTGAAGACAAGAAGAGAAACCTCGAAAACTCTAGTGTTGACGGAGCATGCAACGACACTAGTGATAATGTGCTGAAGCTCGGTACTATCATAACATCGACTGCACTATACTCCCTCAGCAAGCTTGGTTCTCCCAGTACAGGATCGCTAAATGCAACGGTGGTCCCCAAAACTCTGTAAGCGATTGGACCCCTGTCAACGAAGTCACAAAGGATCGCATGTCACAGTCTAAAGACCTGAACATCATAGGTATTGTAGGGAGATCAATTGGTGATTTGACGGTACAGTTTATCCCCAAGGCTGTTCAACAGGTCAGCAAAGAGCACAGGAATCTGAAACGCGCATCAACCACCAAACAATAAAGGTCCTCAACCTGAACGTACCCGAAAACCTGGGAAAGCAATCACGGTTCGCGATGATTCTCTCAGAATCATGAATCTTAATAACATCCCTGACTTTTTCTTCAGCCAACAGGATAGAGATGACAGGACGCTCTAGGGAGAGTTAAACAATAAGCTCAAACTTCCCAAAATATAGCCCTTGGCGGTAATGTGGCTCACTCGGGTAACGGACTCCAAGGATTAAATTCACCCTAGACTACTTTGTGCAACGTTTACTAACTCTACCAAGACGTAGAGGATGTCTTACTGGTTAATCATTCATTGTATTCAGATGGTAATGTAAGAATACTGCCCAATATACCGTATTCTGAGCTCTATCTCATCCGGAACATTCCCAAGGAATCTCGTAAGAAGAAATATAATTGTGCAAGGTGTATCAGAAAACACGGAATCTGACCACAGAAAGTGATATTCGGGAATGGAAATTCATCAAGTAGTTCTTAAAGCTGAAAAACATATTGACTTAAGCAGTGGCGAGACTAGCAAAGTACGACTAGGATTCTAGACCTCGGCTGATGAAGATAGCCTTCCCATAATCCCATATAGCGGATGCAACTCTCGAAGAATTCCATGTCAACAGACGCCAACTGTAAACAGGAATTCATATACATCTGGATAGGCCAAATTATGCTAGGATCAAACACAAAAGCAAGTTGGAACTGAATTGTCAAGATCCTGAAACAAACGTAGAAACGACAAGAGCTATCAACTCTGAAAAATTTGTTTAGGTAGGTTACCTGTCTATTCACATAAGGCTCATACAGATAAATAGGACGGGGAAGCCCAAGTGTTCCAATTTGAAGGCATAAACTGCCTATGTATGAACACCGCGAGTTTACGTAATAAAATGGATGGGCTTCATGAACTCAGTAACGCTAATAATGCTCATGTGGTACAAAATATCTGAAACCAGGAGCTAGCAATAACCGGGATTTCTTGGTTTCGCAGCGATAGAAAAACAGGAATAGAGGCGGAGTCGTCTCATGCTGGCGATCTGGTTGGCAGCAGTCTGTTCCACTAACGGCCTCCAAAATCCACAAGCCACATACAATCATCAAGAACCGGACTCTTCGTTTGCTAAACGCTAATGCATTGCTGAGCGGAATACAAACGAACTGTCAACAACAGCCCATACATGCAATACAAACAAACAAGGAACATATGCATAAAAGCAACAAGACAAAACAGGCTTCAGTACCAGATAAATCTTATCGATAAATTTGTCCTCAATCCGAAAAGCTTATTCCGTTATGCAACCTCTTTTGGACAAGAGAAAACTGAAGCTTCCCAACTTCTAGGTTCTAATGGCCAGACCCGCAACGGCGGTGACACAGCTAATTTTCTGACTGAACAGTGCTCATCTACATTTCAATTGGTCTTCCCAAAGTATGTTGATGAGAGCTTCATTTGCAACACCACAGGACTTTCCGAAGTGAACCTAAGCGCTGACTTGGTGTACCAGAAACTGTAGCATCTCCTGGCCCGGATATGGTTCAATCTGCTATACTGAGTAAAACAGCTTCAATGTTAAGAACACCGCTTAGTGTGATGTTCTCACAATCGCTAAGCAGAGGCAAACTACCAGGCATTTGGAAGCTGGCTCACATCACATCAATTTTTGAAGGAGGTCGACTCAGCGAAACTTCAAGCTACCAACCTTCAAAAATTATGGAGTCCTTGATATGCGACGGTATGCACGACTATTTACTATCCTTAAAATTCTTTCAACGCAACAGCACGGTTTCAGAAAACATCACTCTTGTATAACCAACCTGCTGACTGCGGTAGACAGATGGACAACCAACTTTGATCGCAAAGGAAAGTTTGACGTCATTTACCTTGACTTTTCAAAAGCTTTTGATATGGTCAACCATGTATGTCTTATCAATAAGCTCAAAACATTGTGTATCGGATCCCTATTAATTGACTGGCTCGCTTCGAATGTAAAAAATCGACATTTAAAGGTAAGGGATAACTTTTCTTTCTCTCAGGTTATGGAATTCTCTAGTGTGGTCCCCAGGGTTCAGCATATGGGTGTCTTCTTCTCTTGATTTATATAAACGATCTTCCACGACAGGTATCGTCTGACTTACTACTTTTTGTTGATATTGTGAAACGTTGGAGATATACGCAATCAATAGGATATGCTGGCACTTCAGGAGGATCTGACTCGACTTGGAAGTTGGGCAGATGACAACGGACTTACCCTTAACACTTCAAAGTGTAAAGTAGTCCATCTGAGACATGTTGCAGACTACAGTTACAACTTAGGAAACTCCTCTCTAGGAGTATCCCAAGTTGAAAAAGATTTAGGAGTGCTGGTGTCCTACGATTTGAAGTCTTACGCTAACTGTGACAAAAATGTCTTTCAAGCGAATCTTGTACTGGCAACATTGAAACCCATTTTTGGTCAGTTTGACGGAGAACGTTCCACATAATCTTCAACAGTTTCATGCGTCCCCATTTAGAGTATGGAAAAACAGTATTTCCTCTCTCACTCCAAAAGGATAAGAACACTCTGGAGTGTATCCAAAGGCGAGGCACGAAATCAGTTCGGGAACTCAAATTCAAGCCTTATGAAGGGCGCCTCCATTCACTAAACTTTTACCCATTATAGTAAAGGCGTCTTATAGGTGACCTTTTAATGGATTACAGTGTTCTTAACACTTCTGGACATCCCCTTAAACACCTACTTAAGTTTAGCTTCAACACAAACCTTAGGGGTGACGCCCAGAAAACTGGAGATACAACATAGCAGAACGGACTTTGGACACAGCTTCTACTCCTTAAGAGTAGTCAAACGCTTCCCAGGAGTCCTTTGAGAGGAAACTTGACCTATTCTTAAGGACTAAGGATAATAACTTGCTATGATTTGCCAATTTCGTTTTTCCTCTATTATCGTTAATATACCTAGGTTACTGCCGGAAGGTATCGGTGATCCACTGATACTAGACACGGAAGCCCGTTAAGCGAAAACTTCTTCTATTCCGTCCAAATACATTTGTTTCACTTGTACAAATTCAGCGTTCATTTGGAGTGTTGCGTTACAGATTATCAAGGTTACCAAGTTCTTCGATCTGGTGTTTGATCACATATTTCTTTCATAAAATGTATGTTCCATATTCCTAGTATCTCTTAGTGTTTTCAAATCCTAACTTATGACTGAAGGACTTTTGGATCATAAATGTCTTAATTTATTAGTTAAATAGAATTCACGAAGAATTAGTAGTAAAATTGGATTATTATGTTTATGATGTGTCTTTGAAATAATTCTCTGTTTGGATCCATTCGTTAGTCTGAACATCCAAGACGTTTTTGTATTTCGATAATATAAAATCCTAGGGGATTTACCAGGTTTCCAAAACCTTCATTTTCTCTTCCATGATTCCTTAATATGATCAAATATGTACTTTCATACTCATTTGATGTATATGTGATTCGCGAAATCAACTAGTAGCTTGCGCTTTCACTCAGAGCTAAGATATTCAT